GTGCCTATTGCATGTCATCTAATTAATCATATGCCTTCATCTACTCTTGATAATCAAATTCCACACCAAATTGTATTTCCTAATCAATCATTATTCTCTATTCCACCACGTGTCTTTGGTTGTGTAGCCTTTGTTCATCAATTTGGTCCAGACATAGACAAACTTGATCCTAAATCTGTAAAGTGTCTTGGGTTATTCTTGTTCACAAAAAAAGGAATAAGCAAAGTTGTCAAAACGTGTATCGGAAGGCGTATCATTTTTAAAATACAGCGTATCGCATATCGTTAGATACATGTAGTTTTATAAAAGATATTAAAAAAAACATATATATATATATATATATATATATATATATATCTATAATATAAAACAGGGCGGCTTCTACAAGTCCATCCTACGATCTCAAATTTATTCATCCAACGGTCAAGGAATTACTATTTTTTCCTTAATATTTCCCTTCCCAATCAGTCAACGATTACGGCTGATCTTGGAACACATCTTACAGTCTCAAATTTATTCATCTAACGGTCAAGAAATTAATATTTTCTCCTTAATATTTTTCCTCCCAACCAGTCAAAGATTACAGCTGACTTGGATCACAAGATTTTCTCTGACATAATAATTAAACGGTTCAAATTTGCCATTAATATCAATTGTGTAGTGTAACATTTTAAATTTGTATAAAAGATAATGATAATATTTTAATTAAAAAAAATTCATCAATTTAACATATTAAAAAAAACAAGGGTGCTCCTTAACACATTTATATTGAATATAATTAATTTTAATTTTATTTATTTAATTAACTATCTCAAACTAACATGTCTTACACATGTCTTGAATCAAAAGTTCAAGACTATTTTTTTTATCTCTTAAGAAAACTCAACGCTAATATATTCTTACAAATTAAGAATTTTTTAATAACTTATACTAATTAAAAAAATATATATTTTATAAATAATATTTGTAAATCTTTTTTTAATAGAAAATATTTTGGCGATATGCTTTTTGATAAATTAGATTTTTAGTTTATACTAAATTTGACTCGATTTTTATTATATGTATATAAATTAATATACGATTTTGATTACATGTATATAAATTAATATTTTTTTAAGTCAATTCTATTATATTTTGTAGATTCTATAAATATAAAACAGGGCGGATTTAACAAGTCCATCCGACAGTCTCAAATAAACTCATTCAATGACTACCAACATCTCTTTCAATACCATTTATATTGAATTTTACCTTCCTCTTCTCACTCTTCACTCCCTTTCTCTAGCAGTGGTGGAGGGAGGAGGGGCCACCCTTAAAAAAAAAAAATTTTTAATTATATATGTTTTACATATTTTTTTAGATTAGTTGGGCTCACTGTAATAATTTATGAAAAACAAAATTAATTGGATCAAACAAGTTTGGTACTAGAACAAAAAAATAAAAACAAAAAGTTCATACCAAATCTCTTAAAATTAGCAAACTAAAATTGATTCCTTAGAGTATTAGTATGATTTGTTGAAGTCTCCTTTGGATCAAAAATTATAGAATATATAGTCATTAATGAGTAAAATATAGAATTTATAAAAAGATTAAAAATTATAAAATTTTGCTTTTATTTGTATCAAATAAATTATATTATTGATCCTTAATGTATAGATGTTATCTTATTAATTTTTTTCAAATATACCTTTTTTATGTTTAATAAATTTTTAAGTATCAAATCTAATATAAAAAATATAAATATATCACACTATTTTTATCTATTATACTTAAAGTGTGTTCACCATAAATCATATTTTTGACTTTGTCACTGTTCTCAGGGATTTTCACTCCTCACTTTTTCAAATTAATTGGTTGATTTATGTTGCACCGTACCTTCAGGCACGGGTTACCCCTAGTATATATATGACAAAATATCATAATAACATTTCATTGTACCACAAATTTTCACATAAAACAATTTAAAGAGACTACAGGGACCAAAATAAAAAAAAATTAACAATTTAAGTAGTGAAGTTTCTAACATATTTCATTAGTATCAAAATTTAGTGAGTTCTACTTCTAACGTCTAAAGTAGCCAAAAGAGGGCACTTTTAACGATCAAACTATTTGCTCCTACGATGGAACGAATAAAAAAGAAGACTTTTATTTCTTAAAAATTGTAGATGGTGAAACGACAACGTTTTATTACATAATATTTGAAAAAATTACTTTCAAGTGAAAAGACGTCGTTTTCTTAATCTATTTCGTCCCGTATCAGACAACTCGTGCATATCGTCTAGTATATCGAGTGTATTGTATCGTGTATTGCATGATACAATGCAAACCAATACACTTAAGCGATATGTATCGTATCGATTATCGTCTGATACTAACAACTATAGGTATAAGTGCTATAATCCAACCTTTCATCGTCAATTTGTCTATGCTGATGTTACATTCTTCGAGTCTGTTCCTTTCTTTTTTGAGGCTGCAACTGATGCTGCACTTCATCAGTCTTCTCTTCCATTGCCCTTTCCCATTTTGTGTTTGCCCACTTTCTTTCATACAACAAAACCTTCTATTACGCAGGTGTACTTCCGTCACAAAAAGACTGTTGTCCAAATGCCTCCGCTACCCTCTATATGGTCTGAAGGTCTTGTTCTCCAACCATCTCTGGATGCCAATCTTCCTATTTCACTTCGAGAAGGTAAGCACTTATGTACCCTACTTACGAGTTCTACTGCTCATCTTATTAAACACTTTCTTTCTTATGATAACTTGTCTCCTACCTTTCATTGTTTTACATCATCTATCTTGTCTCCTTCTGTTGCTCACACTGTTCACAAAGCTCTTGCTCATTCTGAGTGGTGTTGAGCAATGAAAGAGGAACTCCCTGCTATGTATGAGAATCAAAACTGGAAACTTATTCCTTTACCTTTTGGAAAAAAATTAGTTAGCTGGCACTAGGTGTATGTTATCAAGTACCTGCCGAATGGTTCCATTGAAAGATTAAAGACCCGATGGTTGCCAAGGATTTTATTCAGACATATGGTATGGATTATGCTGAAACATTTTCTCTTATTGCCAAGATCTCATCTTTTCGGGTTATTATCTCTCAACTAGCTAATTTCCAATGGCCATTATTTCAGTTAGATGTCAAAAATATTTTTTCCCCTGATGCATTGACTGAGGAAGTTTATATAGAGCAACCACCAGGGTTTTTTGCCCAGGAGGAGTCTAGTAGTAAGATATGCAAATTAAAGAAGGTGATATATGACCTAAAATAATCACCTCAAGCATGGTTTGACAAATTCAGTGAAGTTGTGTTAGACTTTGGACTTCAACAATATCAAGCAGATCACTCAGTGTTTAGTAAAAATTATGAATCTAGCATGATAATTTTAGTTGTCTATGTGGATGATATTGTTATTATGGGAAGTGATAGTGAAGTTATTATTACTCTAAAAGCATTCTTGAAGCAGATGTTTCATATTAAAAATCTGAGTAAGTTATGATACTTATCTGGAATTGTAGTGGCAACATCCAAGCATGGAGTGCAAGTATGTACTGGATCTACTTGCTAAAACAGGACTTACAGGTACAACACTAGTTGATACTCTCATGGAATCTAATACAAAATTGACCACATAATGGAGGGAGTTATTTAAACATCTAGATAGATATAGAAGACTAGTGGGGAAATTAAATTACTTGAATATTACAAGACTAGATATCTCTTTTGTGGTTAGTGTTGTAAGTCAAGTTATGGAATCTCCAAGAGTACTTTACTCAAAGACAGTGATTATAATCTTAAGATATTTGAAAATGGCTCCTAGTTAGGGATTATTATATAGAGCTTATGGACATTTACAAGTAGTTGATTTTACTAATGTAGATAGGGTTGATTCCCCATCAGATAAAGATCTACCACAGGGTATTGTACATTTTTTGGAGAAAATTTGGTAACTTGGAAAAGTAAGAAATAGAGTGTTGTGGCCCGATCTAGTACTGAGGCAAAATATAAGGCTATGGCTCAAACAACTTGTGAATTGATATGGTTGAAGAATTCATTGCATGAGATTGGTATTTCAGTAACCTTTGCAATGCAATTATTTTGTGATAATCAAGTTGAGGTTCATATTGCTTCAAATCTAGTCTTTGCTTCAAATCCAGTTTTTTATGAACGAACAAAATATATTGAGGTTGATTGTCACTTTCTTAGTAAAAGACTTTAATCAAATTAGGTTACTATTTGTTTTGTACGGTCTATAGATTAGTTGGCAGAAGTCTTCCCCAAGGCACTTAGTAGGGATAAAATTGAAAATATTTGTTCCAAGTTAGGACTATTTGATATTTTTTAGTACAGCTTGATGGGGGTGTTAGTGAGTGAGGGATAATAGAGTCATTGCATAGTTCTCATATGTGTAACTATATATATATATATATATATATAGTCAATGGAAGATGTGTGTTCTATTCCCTATTCAATTATGTTTGTGTGTGTGTGTGTGTGTGTGCATGGCTGTATTGTTTACACAAGAATAGACAAGAATCAAAATAAATTACAACTTACAATTTCAAGAAACACATTATGAAAGGAGGAAGAATTGTTCATAAATATAATATTGGCAAGGTTCAAAATCTCATTCTGTTTTCTAGCAAAATGATCGAAACATTTCCGTTTCTATAGAAATGGAAATGAATAAGTGATTGAATATCAAATTTCTTGTATTTCGTGGTATTTTAGAATGTTTCGATATATTTTTGGGATATTTCAACCAATGTGTTGTGATGACGCATGCCAAATAGTTGAGTAGAAAGTGGATCCATGGTCCAAACCAACATAAGATGGAACTGGCGTGGCTTGAAGTCTCCTCAAAATTTTGTAAATTCATTACGCATTGCATAATGAATGTTCGTAGTTATACAAAGCACATAAACACACTTCACTAAGCAATAGGGGCCATAGTACATGTGCTTGGTACCTTTACCTCACCTTATCCATTTTAACCCTAATCTTAAGTAGTCTTAACTCCAATATCAAATGTATCAAATGCCCACAATCCTCCCCTTTGAACCACACATTCTCCTGTGCAATCGGTCCCATAGGTCCCATAGTTCTTATGGTGCTAGCTCTAATACCATAATGCACCAAACTCACATTGTACAATTTGTCTACTTTGGGGTAGTCCCATACAACTTTAAAACGCTTTACATAACGAAACACCTACAATTTGAATCTCCCCCTCCCCCCTCCCCCCTCCCCCTCTCTCTCTCTCTCTATTTTTGTATAAAATATGATTACGCAAACAAGCTGAATGTATATCAAAAGACCAAAATGTTTTTCACAAAAGAACAAATATTTTATCTTTAGACATCAGTTGTAGTTTAGAAGTCGTCAGCTGGTAAGTTTATGAGGTAAGACTTATGCAAAGGTTATGCATGGGCAAATATGAGTTGAAAAAGATAGAAGATGGGAGATGCAAAAACCTTGAGACACGTCCCTATCTATACCAAAAAACCAGCAAAGGAGCCGATGTCCTCTGCTGCTTCTTCGAAAGAAGAAGAAATTAGTCATCCCTGTCCATGAGGTGAACCGTATATACCTTTTTTTTTTTTTTTTTTTTGGGGTGGGGGGGTTACCATTGGACCAAAGCCCGAGTGTGAACCACATACCTCAACATTTGAACCAAGAGAAGTAATAGTTGGATCAGTTGCCATCATTGCCTCTTCACAAAGCTTTATGGCCTTATGCAAATCTTTTAGGTGGCCCCACTTAGGTTGTCTAAGAAGTCCTGCAACAGAATGAGAGTGTGAATCCCTTTTAGAGATATAAGGCATGATGAAGATTTATTAAAAGTTTTTCCCTTATGGATGAATATTTTTTAGTAGTCATGTGGATACAGAAAACTAAAGAACAAGTTAAACTGTGTCCAAGAAATATTAGTCCAGTTTTGCATGAGTGACAACTGATAACTGGAGTTGCATTTGGGTAATATAAATGAAAGGCTGACAGTATAAAGAAGTTATAAAAAAAAAAAAAAGGATAGCCAAGTGCACAAGGCTCCCATTATTTCAGGAACCGGGGAGGACTAGATGTATGGAACTTTACCTTACATGCATATGCATATAGGCTAATTTCATAACTCGAACTTTTGACGTCCGAGTTACAATGAATCAACCTTACTGTTACGCTAATACTCATCCTCTTGTATCGAGAAGTAAACAAATAAAATAATTGATTGACAAATGTAATTGAAAAATTAAATACTTGGTTGATGAACAAAGCATACCATACTCATCTATTGGAGCATCCAAATCGTAGCTTGTAGCATAAAAAGGCCCAGCAGTAACCCGGCCAAAGTTAGTTCCACCATGGTACTGTTAAAAGGCAACCAGAACATGGAACTTTACAGTCTTTAGAGTTTCAGAATATATCAACATTTACTATCATAAAAAGAACTTGTAAAATGCCTAAATATGAACAGATATACTACCATATAGTAACCAACGAGACTTTAGTCTAATGGTACTCTTTGCCTTACGAAGACTCAAGCCTCCCCCTCCCAAACAAAATGTTTAAAAAAAAAATAGTACCATATAGTAATTCTGGAAGGTTCCACCTCGCTGGAAAAACCGCGCCACAGCAAAAGCAAGGTCTTCCACAGGTCTGTAGGGCACAGCACTTCCAAATGAAATAGACCTAATATTTCAAATACTGACAAGGGTTAAAAATGTTGAAGCAGAGATAAGAAAGCAAAGCCATATACAATCAAAGAACAATTAGAACTTTGGAGAGACCAAGTAGCCCACTTTACCAGCCACTATAATTCTCAGTCCACATTTTTGGTTTCTCGTCAGAATTTGGGGTGAATGTCTCGCAGTAAAACCCATTGCATGTGTTAATCTACAATTATATATAAGAATAAAATGCATTTTTATTAGTTTACTTGGTAAGAAGGCATATCCTACAAGAAGTTGGCAACTCTACCAAAGATTAGGAAGTAACAAATTTAGATTTTGATGTTAACAAACTATCATACATATTGGAAGAGTGAAACTCTCACCATAGGATCAGGGGCATCTGATTGAATGGACATCACCCAGGGCACCCCTGTATCCAAAAAAGTTGCCATGGTTGCTGCCCATTTAATATAAGTTTTCCCAGGTGGCCCAAATGCTGCTTCAAGGACTTCATACTCATTCTCAATCTGACTTTAAAAAATGACGAGTGCCCTTTCGTTACTCCATGACAAGAAAATCAAATATATTATCCTCTACAAATCAATAAGGTGATGATATGGAGAAACCAATATAGAATCTCGTGTTAACAGCCAATTACAATGAATCACAAAAAAAAAAAAAATTGAACCTGAGATAAGATAATGGATCCACCTTGCGAGGCATAGAGATTTTCCTGCTTCATCATGTCTACAATCTTGGCTGTGAATCGAGTCATTTCAGCCTAAAAAAGAAAGCTTATGGATGATTTCAAATATGGAACCATCAACTTACAAACTAAGAGCAACAAAAGACTGATTGGGAGAAACCTTGAAAGGCTTGTTATCAGTTCGAAACAGTATTCCAGGTATATCACGCAACCACAGCGGAAATCCACTGTTCAGAAATAGAAACTTAGATTCCTACATAATTAACTGTGTATGGTAAAATTATGTAACATTAATCAACTCTTCCTTTCTATATAATGAAAGAATGAAATTACACAAGCAGCATATAACTTAATCTCTGTGGAAATTCATATAAAATTTACCCGTAGTTCCACTGAGCACAGACATAAGGACCAATCCGCAGACTAACATAAAGACCAGCTTCCGCAACCAATTTCACAAACTTAACCAAATCTTCCTACCTTCAAAATCATACTGCAAAATTTCTTGGCATACCAGCAATTACCAACAGTCATGTTGACTAGTACTCAACCATTGAATTGATTTAAAATAATTAAATTCAAGATTGCTAACATGAAGAAAACAGGGCAGATTTTAAAGAGTAACCATGCTTATACCAAAACCCTTACAAAATTTTATTTACCAAAGGAACACGAGTAGTTGGATCGGTGAGTTGTACTGAAAAAAGTTAATGAGATAATCCACACTGATTCGATAAGCTAAATTTGGTAAGAGTAGCAATGTAGCATTATTTTCAAATTCTTGCTCTTTTTGGGTGGCTAAGAAAAGTAATTTATGCTTTTAATTTACTGCTCCATTTATGAATCATAGGATTAGATTAACTAAGATCACTAACCAGGCCTAATGAAATTACTGCTCCACTTAATTGTTGGCTAGAAAAATTTGGCATTTTAAACCAACATGTTAGATGGGCGAATGGAAATAATCAAGAACCTCGGTGCTCCGTGTTTAAGGCAGCAGGAAAGAGAGAGTCAACATATGACCCCCAAATAACAGAGGCAAAGGAACTGTTAAAGTCTTTAAAACTTGGCTTAGATCAGTAAAATATCAAACAAAATTAAAAACTCCATTTTTGTTTTATTTTCCTAATTTAATCGGCACCGAAACAAAGCTAAAACCAAAATTAAGCGATCCGCAACAAATGTGAAACGAAACCTGGTTTCGAACTGGTTCATGCAAGTTCCAGAAAACGTAAGTGTCGATTACATCCAAGCCTCCGTCTTTTGATTTCTGAATAAGGTCCGGCCACATCTGCACCAATTTGTATATACATACAATATTTATTCACAGAAAAAACACATTCAGAGAGAGAGAGAGAGAGAGAACAACGTCGGGGGTGCTGCGAGGATAATGAATGGCGCCGGAAATCAAGAGCCTCCGCCTTCCGTCGATGACCAACGCTCGGTGATCGTACGTCACATTGGCGGCAAACGGCGTCGTTGCAAGAACTCCAATCACTAAAAACAAAACGATGAGAAACCCTTTTCCCAGCATGTTCAAAGTAGTCTCAAACCCCTTGTTTGATCCCTAGTTTGAAATCTTGATTTCCATGGATGTTAAGGTAAAGAACAGTGTGTTTTTTCAACAACCAAACTGATTTACTGACAGTAAGTGTTACATGGAGACTTTGTATGGTTGGTTGGTGTCTTTTGTGTTTGGCTGCTGGCTTATCCCCCTTCGTACAACATTTTCCTTCTGCTATTTTGCTGTATTAATGCACTTGCCCGTCCCTTTCGTTTGAAAAAGGCGTCTTCGTCGACGATTATGGCAAAGCTCCAAAGATAAAGGGAGAATTATATTTTAGGGGTTAATTACACCGTAGGCCTTAAAAGGATGAAATTTTAATGTTTGAAGTATTAAATATTTTTATATAACCTCGTAAATAATATTTAGATTATTAATAATTTTTATTATAAATTTATCGTATAATATGTAAATATAGATAAAAAAATAATTTAAATAACTCTTCAATTTTTACCTAAATTTTGGTAAAAGATCTATTCAAATTATAAAGTTTTGATCATAAATTATTTAAATTTTAATTAAAAATAATTACCCATATTACATTTTTTTTGTCGAGAATTATCCAAATTTTGGTCAAGAGCTATCTAACTTATTTTTTGTTTATATTTAAATATCATGTGACAAGTTTATAATAAAAAATTATAAATAATTTAGATATTTTCTGCTTAATGGATGACATAAAAATATATTCATTTTTTTAGAGGCCAAAATAATGTAATTAAAATATTATAAACTAAAATGAGACAAATTTTATACTTTAAAAACCTCTAATATAATTAATCCTATATTTTATACCTTGAAAGATTTTAAAATCTTTTAATTTTTACCTTTAAAAATTATTTTTTTCACATTAACTATGGCAGCCGGATTCAACGGCCTACTGGCTCTAGTTAATTCTACACATCTCAGCTATGAAGCACGGATACAGATATAGAATACGGGTATAATACGATACGGATACGATAATACGACAAGATCTAAAAAAATAGGATACGAGTACGGCTGATATACGACTAAAATAAAATATTTTTATTATTTTCAACCAATTTAATACTTATATATTTTGGTAGTTTTTTAATATACAATAAGGAAAATTAGTAATTTTTTTTAGTTTCAAGAAAATATATATCGCATCGCTATAGTATATTCACAAAGTAAAGTGACTAATTAGATAAATCAAAGCTAATATTTACTTAGTATTTAGAATAATTTTTACTAAGATAATAATATAATAACTTTATTTTATATTCTTTTGACATGTAATTGTAGATAATACTTAAGAAACACTCATGTGCCTTTGAAGTAATATGAATTTTTTGTTAATGTATTGTATGGTATGTGAATTCGAAAATAGATGTTAAAAGTTTAACTAAAAAATTATATATATTGTTCGACCACAAAAGTATCCGTGAAGTATCATAATATTTAATTATTATCGGATTCGTAAAAGGTGTATCCGATACGTATCCTCGAGTATCCGACGAGTATCGTATTCAATACGGTATCAGATACGGGTACGTCAACTTTAACGAAGCATCCATGCTTCACAGCATCCCAGTCTCGTCAAGTTTTTATTGTTGGATTGGATTTGTAAATGTATATATACTAGCAATTTCTAAATAAACTAGTAATTAATTTAAATAATATTTTTTATAAAAAATATGAATTATATATGTAATTAAATTAAATAATAAATTAGGGGTTGAATAATTAATTCTTAATTTAATTATTATTTTATTCTATAAGTCTTTTAAGTATCTAATCTATCATTTATGTAGGTATATCTACGACACTTTTAGGCATTTACACGTCTAATTATATTATAAAATTATTAATTTTTATTTTAATAAATAGATTGATTAGATCGTTTACAATATTATTATATTATTGCATGCTAAAAAATAAAATATAACATATTTGACCGTAAAATTCAATCAAATCCTATATATGTTATTTTTTCATATAAATATAGAAGATTGTATGTAACTATACTACTAATAAATAAGTTCAAAAGAATTTAAAAGTGCTTATAAAAAAATCCAAAATAAGTTAAAAGGAAAATAGGAGTAGAAAAAACAAAAATGAGATGAAAGTATATATGTGAGTATACTTGACTTTATTATAATAATTAGGAGAAAAATTGAAAAGTAATTTTTTTTTTAGATACTGACATTTATAAGTAATATAGATAAGTAAACTTTTAACTAATGTTATCAGAATTGGATCGGACATAAAACCAGTAAAGTGAGCGGGTCAATAGTTCAATGGTTCAATCGTTTGGTCACAATCACAATAAAAATTGTTGTGTGTGTAGTGTGTAGTGTATAGTGTATAGTATACTGAAATTTTTGATTAAATTTGGGATCTATGGTGTGGCCACTATTCGAGTTAGATATGTAAACATTAAAGACGAAGACGGAAGGGCTGAAATCTTTTTGAACCAGCCGGAGAAGATGATGACGAAGACAAATGGGTTGGTATTGTTTTGAACCATTAAGAATCTTCAGTTCACCGGTTTTGGAAAAAATTGGCCGATTTTTCAGTTTCTCACCGATTCGATTCCTTAGACGGTCAAACTAAAGAACTGGACAGTTTTAGATCCCAATTCACGGTACAACCGGTCTGATCCGGTTATGATAACACTGCTTTCGACAAATATTTTTTAATATATATTTGAGTTCTTGATTTGGAGAGTTGATATACAATGCAATCACCACATATTAATCTGAGTAATGTTATTGAGTCATAATTTAAATAGTTAATGATTATAACCATTAGATTATCATTGAGTCCTAACATTAAATGTATTATATTTTGGATTCAATAGTCATAATGTATTAAGTTTTTAAATGTGAAAATTGGGGCTGAGTCCTCCTAGATAGACTTATAATGACTTGAGTCTGTCAAGGAAATTTATTTGATGATAAATTTGTTTTTTATCTTACTGATAAGTACTTAAATCCACTATTTTTTTAAATTCCAAAAAATACCTTTAATAGTGTTATTCTGTTTAATTATAAAAATCTTAAAGACATTGAAAATAGCTTTAAATTAATTTTTAAATTAAAAATTATTATTCTTTAATTCACTCCTAAATTGAAATTCAAATTTATATTCTTTCTTTCTCTCTCTTTCTTTGTCTCTCTCTCGTTAGAAGAAGATCATCACTCAAATACAACAAATATTTTGCCTTAGATATCATTTCTTCCTCCATAATATCAAAATCAGTAGGGTTTGGAACATTATCAACAACTATTATATCTTCTACTACGTTTTGGTCATCATGAATTTCTATATCGTTGATTTTCGGGAAAAAAAAATGTTAAAAAATTTGCTCAATGTGCTATTAGTTTAATCCCCAATTTTATTTTTATTTTTTTGATAAATAATCTCCAAATTTTTTTAATGTTTTATGTTACTACGTTTTTTGTTGATTATGCTACTAATTTTTCTAATTGACCATGTTACTCTTTTTTTTTTCATGTTACTATTTTTTTTGCTGAAGAACTGAAAGTTTCTTCCTCTGGTTATGAGTTTGAATGCTACTTTTTTTATTTTCCATTTTGTTTAATATTCCGTATTGCTATTTTTTTTGTTTGTTCAACATATTACTGTTTTTGTTAAGCATGTTACTGTTTTTTAAGCATATTACTATTTTTGTTGAATATGTTACTATTTTTGTTAAACATGTTATTATTGTTATTTTTTTAAAATATTAATATTGAATGTTACTTACTATTTTTTTGTATTTAAATATATTATTGTTTGTGTTTAAATAAAAACTTTTTTTTATTTCAATGTTAATATTTTTTATTTTTAATGTTACTATGAGAGAGATATAGTCCTAACCTATATATGTATATAGATAGATATGAGAGTGAAAATTTTTTAATTTTAGTTAAACTCCTAAAATTTAGGAGTTTTTAATTTTTAGTTTTACTTAACTCCTAAATGGAAGGGATAGTTTGGTAAAATTGACAAAAAATGGACTTTATAACAAATAAGTATCTTTAGTGGACTTAAGTTCAAATAAGTCCATATAGGGGGATCGACCTCCAAATTTTTTTGTTTAAATGATATTCTTAAATTATGTGAACTCAGAGCATCTGTAGTCCTTACATTTTTTAATACCCAAATTTAAATTTGAGTAAAAATAATTTAAAATACTTCTCAAATGCTAGATATACACTTATACCAAATGAAAGAAAACTCTTTTTTAAACCCAAATCAAGAGAGATCCTTTTTAAAACACAAATCAAGGGAGATCCTTTTTAAAACCCAAATCCTTAATGGTGAGATTACACCATCCTTTAAAGATCCAATAGTTATATTTTATCCTATTTTAAATTTGAATTTGTCATTATTAAATTTGAGTTTCTCTTCTTTTAAATTTGAATTCTCCGTTAGAAAGGTATATACCAAGTCAAGTTTTTTATTTTTTATTTCCTCAAATTTAGCTGCATATTTAAATTTTCATTGTTTTTTTTTTGATTCATTGGAAAATTAAAAGACCTAAACTAAATAGAGTTCCTACAATAAACAATATTGGTCATATCAGTCATAAGGACATTAGACATATGGGGTGGTGGGTCTTGTAACTCCACGAACGCCTCCAACTGTTGAACACCGAGATTAGCCAAAGCGTCTGTACATTAGTTTCCTTCTCTGAAGGTGTGGATAATGGGGCTATGGTTAGTCCCCATCATATTTCTGCAGCTCTTGATGATGGCTCTGCTTGGGTGGACCTCGTTTGGATCAACCAAAAGTAGCTTGACAGCTTCTAGTGAGTTGTTTTTCACAATGACATGGGTAATTTGTCGCCTTAGCAGGAGTTCAAGCCCTTTCAAAATCGCCTAAAGCTTCGCTTGAATACTCTTTGTATCATTCATTCTCCCATTAAAACCTGAAATCTACTTGCATTGGTCAATACTGATAATTCCTCCTTTTCCCGTTGGTCTAGTATTTCCTTT